GACTCTAACTTGAGCTTCGGAGCCCTTACGCCGGGTCCTCCCCGGAGCTTCTCTTCCCCTTCCGTTTCAGGTCCCTGCCACTCAGTTCAGAGGCAAGATCGTTGACAGCTAAGATCGGTCGGATTGTGCATCATCAGTATTCATGGTTGTGTGACATGTGTCACTGGAGTCCAAAATATTGGATTATCCAACATTAATCACGAATACCTCATCTGATCCAAGGCTGGTGCAGATACATCGTATCATTGCCTCTCTAACGTGTCCCCTCTTTACTCGTGGTAGTGTTGTTGTATCATGTATGCAATTTGCAGTATGCAACCATACTCTTTTCGAATGCTTGCACTACTCCAGAGTCCAGTCACTACGGCGAGTATGATGACCGGAAACTAGCCAAAGGTCATACCGATGTCTTGTGGTCCTTTACCGGAAGCGATTTTCCGACTGACAATGTTGCAAATGCCCTTTTGAGCTTCTCTGTTTGATTGGTTGGTTCCTTTGGGTTTCGAAGAAAATACAAACACATCCTCTGCTCCCACTATTTCACTCTTCCGGTCTCGAGTGAGTTTAAGTTTAAATGGAAATTTATTAAACTATCACCTTCAATTACTCACTTTCTCCTTATCTGCATTGCCCATCTTTCTTTCTCTTTGTTAGGTTGTGGTACTGGGGTTTGATCAAAGGTGTGGGTACGTCTTGGTTTCTGGCATTTTTAGCTCTTCCCTTCTTTGCTGCCATTTTCTTTCTCCTGCTTTCAAGCTTCTTTTCGCCAATCTCTGGTTGATGTCTCTTATACTGAATCTTATGTATGGATGAATTTCTGATTGTTTTTTTCTATATTCCCCACTTTCTAATGGGCTTTTACTTTTTATTGTGTGAATATTTGAAATGATCTTTTTCCTTTTTAATCACGTGATTTTGGTCATGAACAAATGAATGCTAATCTAACGACCTTAATCTGATGAACTTATGTGCTTGGAATTGCTGCTCTTTTCTGTACGTTAGTTTCTCATTTTTAATTTCTGTTTACCTATCTCTTTTAATCAGCTATTGTTATGTCGGAGTTGCTTGTCTAGTTTTTTTTTTTTTTTTTTTTATCTTATACTGTCGTTTGCTTTAACTACAATTCTTGCTTTTTGCTGTATTGATTAAGTCTTTCTTTGTGGAGCCAATGTAGCTCCAGTAATTTCTTTCGGGCTGGTTTTAGTTGAATTGTTTTTGTTCATTAGCAATAATCCTGTTGTGCATTGGCATGAATTAAGAAACATATACTGATTGCTATTGGAATTTAATTAGGTGTGAAGCACTCGGTTAGTTCCAAAATCAATTTAGTGATGGGTAGTATCCAGAATGATTGGGATGAGGAATGCTCTGTTATTGGAGACAAGGGAGAAATTGGATTCATTGATTTCGAGGATAATAAATCAGTATGCAGTTACAATCCAACTGAAGAGGGCCCAGTCATTATTTCTGTCCCATTTTCTTTTCTCCATGGGAAGCCTAGATCAATTCTTGTGGGAGAAACAGTTTCGGATTCAATTACAATAAATAATACCACCTCTGAACCAGTTGAACTTTGGGGAGTTAAGATTTTTTGCTCAAATCCTGAGGACTCATACACCCTGTCATTAATGGAACCCCCTTCAACCAATTCAGGTGTGGAGGCCATACGTGGGTTCTTGGAATCAACTTCTTTGCAGGATAGAGTCCTACAGCCAGGCCAGACTCTAACAATATGGCTATCATGTAAACCCAAGGACATTGGTTTGCACACAACAGCTGTGCATTTTGATGTGGGGGATGACAGGATAGAACGGGTCGTTTTCTTATTGGCCGAAGACAAGATTTCACAGTCTCTAACTTCAGAGATGCCATATTCAAGAATTCCAAGGAGAAGACAGTTAACTGTGAATGAGTATGTGGCAGGTTCTCGCCCTGCAAGAGCAATGGCAAAATATCCTAAAAAAAGACTTCGCCAATATGAAATTCCAAAGGATGTTAGGGAGTTGATAGAGAAAAAGCAGGTTCCTGGGGTAATTGGAGAAGGCTTAAGGAAGGGGAATTATGCTGATTACTTCAGTACATTACTGGTTATGGAAGAAATACATTTGGAGGTAACTGTTTTTTATTGCTAATTTTGGAAGTAACCGTTAATACTCATTAGGAAATATCAGCAGTATCTTTTACTTTTTGCACTAAATTTTTTTTTTCTTCAGGAAGAAATGAGGGCCTATGACATGGAGTTTGTCACAATGAAGAAGAAGGGGTCCCAATTCTTGGCTCTTGAGGTCCCTGGACTGGCTGAAAGAAGGCCTTCATTGGTCTATGGGGATTTTGTTTTTGCCAAGCTTGCCTCTGAAAATTCAGACAATTCTACTCCTCCATACCAGGTCTGTGAATGTTTCTTCAAGAAAGGTGTCTTTTCATTGAGAATTACATTATCTTCTCTCCCCACCAACCCAATACACACACATAAACACAAATACACAGAAAGAAAACAAAAGCAAGCAAAGGAAAATGTGTTTTGGTTGTAATACCTCGAAAACCAATATGTGATGCTAGTAGCTATTTAATGGATAATGCAACTGGTACCACTATGTTGTAAAAACTTAACGATTTGATAATATTCAAGAGTTTTTTATCTGGATCGAGAGATATGGTAAATAAAATGCATTTTTATGTTTTAATATAACTGTATCACTAATCAACTTATGTCAGGGAATTGAAAAGAAGTATAGTATCTATTTCTGCTTCAGAAACCATGCATGCTGAAGTGCTTTGGGAACAAAACTTAATGGTTCATCAAAAGGATATCTCCAAGGTCAAAAGTTGGTGTGATTGGATAATTATAACTACAGTTACCAATGGGCTGACTTGTTATGTACTAAACTAGAGCTTAGTCAAGCATCCACCCATCCATAGGCACACTCACACATGCTTGCATCCACTTACTGACCCCCTCCCCTGGTCGGTGGGTTCAAGAACAAAAAAGGATATTTTTTTTTCCTTGTGAAATTACAGATAGTTCAGGTTAGAGGGATGGGTTGGTACCATGTCACCAATAATTTGTGGTTATTTTGGCACAAATGTAGCACTACCTAACATGTTGCTACCACTATAGCTCTAACTTTAAACTATATGCTTATTTTGGAACTTACATAAATTTATTTTGTGCCTAGGTTAGAAATTTAGAATATAACAGATGAGATAATTGTGCCCATCCAGCTAATCTTGGAAATAAAAGTTAGTTGATCCTTATGGGATGCCTCATTACTTGAAATTTTTGCTCCTCCCTCCTTTGACATGTATCATATGCTTCATTCTTGACTTGTATCCTTAACATGATTTCTTATATTATGCTTATAATACTATAAGTTTATAATTATGTATAAACATCCATTCAAGGCAATTTCGGTGGTATACTGTATCTTTTTCTTGCTAAATATAAGTACTTTCAAGTTTCAATAAAGATTCCCATTTGGCAGTATCTGAATATGAATTTCATGTATTATGACCACTGTATGCAATACACGTATACCCTGTTAGGCTGTACCTGGATCCTTGCTAAGCACAACAACCATTTAGTACCATGCACTTATACAAGTCACAAATGACTGATTTTCCGATTTCTATTATTTATGTGCATTTTGCAGGGGTTCATCCACCGTGTTGAGGCTGATGAAGTGTTTTTGAAGTTTGCTAAGGAGTTTCATGATCATCACCGTGATGGAAACCTGTATACTGTCACATTCACATACAATAGGGTGAATATGAGAAGGCTATATCAGGCTGTTGAAGCAGCGGAAAGTTTAGAGACCAATCTCCTTTTCCCAACTTCATTCTGTAAAAGGAGAACAATCAAAACAACCCCAATGGTGCCTTTAACCCAGAATCTCAATGAGGAGCAAATGTTTTCAATTGAAATGATACTGCGGTGCAAAGGTGTCCCGCCTTATGTAATCCATGGGCCACCAGGTACTGGTAAAACAATGACACTTGTTGAAGCAATGTTACAGATTTATACAACGAGAAAAGATGCACGGATTCTTGTGTGTGCAGCCTCGAATAGTGCAGCAGATCATATATTAGATAAGCTCATCAGTAATGAGGTTGCTCAAGTTCGTGAGAGTGAAGTATTTAGGCTGAATGCAAGTAGCCGTCCCTATGAGGACATTGATCCTGATAAGATACAATTTTGCTTCTTTGAGGAGTTTATCTTTAAATGTCCACCTCTCAAGGCTTTACTACGATATAGAATCATCATATCCACATACATGAGTGCTTCTCTCCTTTATGGAGAAGGCATCCGACGAGGCCATTTCTCTCATATATTTCTGGATGAGGCTGGCCAAGCCTCTGAGCCAGAGACCATGATCCCCATTGCAAATCTTTGCCATAGGGAAACAGTTGTTGTTTTGGCTGGAGACCCAATGCAACTGGGTCCTGTTATCTACTCCAAAGATGCTGATACTTATGGATTAGGAAAATCTTTCCTGCTACGGCTTTTTGAGTGTGAATTTTACTGTAATGAGGATGAAAATTTTGTCACAAAGTTGGTGAGAAACTATCGGTGCCACCCATCAATCCTGGATCTTCCTTCAAAGCTTTTCTACAATGGGGAATTGATTGCTTGTAAAGAAGAGATATCTCCCTCTACCAATGCATGGATGGAAATTCTTCCTAACAGAGAATTCCCTGTTCTGTTCATAGGAATTCAAGGATGTGATGAAAGGGAAGGTAATAATCCATCATGGTTTAATCGCTTTGAGGCAAGCAAGGTAGTCGAGATTATCAAGAAGCTGACAGCAAGTGATGATCTAACTGAGGCAGATATTGGAGTAATAACACCTTACCGCAAACAAGTACTCAAGTTAAAGAAAACCCTCGAGAATTTGGATATGCCTGAAGTAAAGGTTGGGAGTGTGGAACAATTTCAGGGACAAGAAAGGCAGGTCATAATTATATCTACTGTCAGGTCAACTATCAAACACAATGATTTTGACAAAATGCACTGTCTGGGATTCCTTAGCAATCCAAGGAGGTTTAATGTTGCCATTACCCGTGCTAAATCTTTGCTTGTCATCATTGGAAATCCACACATTATCAGTAAGGTATTGTTTGTATTCTACTCTTGGTACCCATTATGCAAAATTACTGCTCTTTTACTATGCCCTACTGAATGTGTTAGTTATCTAGGAATTGTTATGTGAAATTTGCATTTTTCCCCTTCATCTGTTGATCTGAAAGCTCTTAGTTAAATCGTTATAGGCCTTAATGGGATGCCACTTGGAAAAAGATCTTGATGATCATAAGTCTAGATTGGGAAGCTTATTATCTTGTTACCCCTTTATTTAATTTGTTGCTTAGACAGTGTACTACAATGCCTACCGCTGAATTGGTTGCTTAGTCAACCACATAATTGGCATGTATTGGATGGTTAATGATTGAAGATCTTGGTTGATGATAAATGGTGGATAATTGCGACTGATGATCATGACTGATGACATGTAGTAGATTAAGAGTTTAAAGAAATTTAGGTGCAAGAGAAGGAACCTGAATGTGAGGAGTTATAATGTCTATGAAATATGCTTGAAGGTGGGATTTTATTGGAGTTTTGACTTCCTGGACATGTGTTGATTATTACTTGATGAAGAGAGCTTTAACCTTTTTCTACCGTGGTGGATGAAAGAACTTGGAGTAGTTGCTACATGCCTAAAGTTTATTTAAGCTAGCCAAATACATAGGAGAAGAGTCTGCAGCAACTGAATGTCATCCAGATGGTTTCCAAGAGGATTCAATCAATCCCTGTGGTGGCACTACTTCTTTTGGTTTTAATTGCCAGTGCTTAACAAAGATTAGTCAACCAGCACAACTAAGCAACCAGAGATGCCTAGCTTGATGTGGTCCAACAGTTTGGAGGAACTTGGGATCATCAAAATATGGCTTAGTCATACCTCATGCTCATGTAATTTGGCAAGCATGCAACTAGTTTTGCTGAACATTGGGTAGGGTTATATGTGCTTTATCTCATTTTGACATGTGTGCATTCAGAAGGCAATAGAATAGAGTACCATTTTTTCTTTTCAGTAAAAAATACATATCCCATGCCTTATACCAATAAACATGGATGGCATGCTCGGGTAATTGGTTCATACACAGAATCTCAGGAGTTGGACCAGCGCTAAACACTAACTACCATAGGTTTGGGGAATATAGGCTAAATTATAATAAAAGATCTATGCCCTCAAAGTGGATGGCCTTTCCAATTTAGTTGATCACTCAAGATTTATTCATTTTATCTGTTATTTGACTAAAGCAAATCATGGGATTTTGTCATTGACATTTCAATTTCCCCGCCCACCCTGCTCCCCCTTCATAGCCACATCCTTGTAAAAAACATCTAGAAGGTCTTCAGCCTACTGATCATCTAGTGTTTGCACTAGAATGCTGGGTTTCAAGGAATGAATATCGTCTTGGACCCAAGGTTCAAAATATTGCAACATATCAATGCGTATCGTATGATATGTATCGATTTTTGGACCTATCAATTCTCAACATATAAGGTTTTTGATGGTTTTAATGCAATTAAATAAAAGTAAATGTCAAATCATAGCCTTTATGCAATTATCAAGATCACCAAATAAGATAAAACACAAATATCGAAGTTGAAAATGCTCAATACACAAAGTTTGTGTATTGTGTGTCTCGATACTTTGAACCTTGCTTGGACCATAGATCAGCCATCCAGATCTCATTATCATTGTATATTCAATGGCACTGTGCTAACAACTTTGGGGCCAATTATTTTTAAATAGATAAGGAAAATGATAGCAGACTTGTAGTGGTTAACCTGCTATTGTTCCTCTGGATGATTATTAAGCCACAGGGGGGGGGGGGGGGGATGAAAAGGAAATAAATCAGCCATGTTTTGTGAAAGTAGATTCTTCTTATTTCAGTTTCTTCACTTACATTTTGAAACAATTCAGCCCTTTTAGGCGAGATTTGCATATAACAGGCTCAGAGTGCCAAAGCAAAAGGATAATGAGATAAACAGAGAAAACAATATTGTTTGGTAGACTTTTTATCATTACATGGATCATTGTTTTCTCATTTATTATTTATCATTCTACATTCTTTTAATGCTTATCTTTTATCATAGTATTTTATCAAAAAGGACAACAGAATGAAAGAATGGCAATGCCGAGATATGTATATAGGTATGCTGGAGCAGTCTTCTTCCTCTAAGCCATTGCATTATGTGAACCAAATGATTTGGATTTCTCAACAGATTACATGAACCAGTTGGTTGGTCAGTTAAAGGACCATTACCCAATGATGGCCCCAGCTATCTGGGGTCTTGGGAGGGGTATACTGGATAAGAACCTAACGTTTGGTATTCTTTTCATTTTTTCCCTGCACAAAGCGGGCACTCTCGCATTCAAAACCACATTCTCATTCTTGTCAGCCCTTTATTTACCCTTGCACCAAGCAATGGCCCCTAGCAACTACTATTAGGATGAAACTGAGCAATATTAGCAGGTCAGTTTCATTTCAACTATTTTGCACCTTATCTAATCCTTGGAGGGGATTTTCCTTTATCTTTCTTCCCTGGGCAGCAGGTTTGGACCCATACCCTTCAAGTTCTTTCTCCTGTGGCTTGTTTTATTCTGCCCTCTCTCATGGTGTTCCATCCCAGTTGGGTTACCCTGTGAGTGCTATTAGGAGAGGATTGGTACCTCCTAAAATTAGAACTTTTTACTGGAAAATGTATTATGTGAAGATGAATACTTGTAAGAATCACATGCTAGAGCAGCTGTCCATAATTCTCCCAGAGCCAGAAGCTATGGATGAATGGTGGTAGAAAGTGGAGAAGTCAGAGAGAACTTTGGCTGTTTGGACATGGCATGTTAGCATAGATGTTGGGTAAAAGAGTAATTGCAATCAATACTTTTAATTAAAAAGACAAACAAGGGACTGAGTGGGGTCACGACTCATGTGAAGGAAGCCCCCAAACAGAGAACTCAGGCCTCTTCTTAGTGAAATCCTGCTATAACTCCATGACTAATATAAAAGATGATCATGTTCCTTGGATTTGGATTTGTAAAATGAAAGCCCCTATTATAAAGGTAATTTTCTTCTTATAGACAGGTATCTTGGGCAAAATACCTTCCTGACCTCACCTAGTAGCTAGAGGCATGACCTTGGCCTCCTTTTGTGGCCTTTGTGGTAGTGGGACTGAATAGAGCATTTGTTCCTGTTCTGCCCTATTTCTGTCAGAGTCTGGTTGCATTTTTTCCAGTTGTTCAAGACATCTTGGGTGATGCCAAGTGGTTTACAAAGTCTGATTTCCTAATGGCCATCTCAAGCTTTCCAGTTGTTCAAGACATCTCAAGCTGTCAGAGTCTGATTTCTTTGGAAGCTTGTGCCTTTTGATGTTTGTTGGTCCCTGTGGAAGTAACATAACAGCAGGATCTTTCAAAAAGAGCACCTGTGGAGACAATTCTAGGTAAATTAGAGCAGTATATGGTCGGGTGATGTTACAAAAAGTTGCTGCACTTTAAATTCTGTCATTTATATTCCTGTTGGGGGGATTGTTTTTTATGAGAGTTTTGTTTAATTGTTTTACAATAAAAGATATACTGTACACTTTGTCTCTATCATGCACAGCTGATAACATGTACGTGCCTTTCTGAGGGTGGGTTTCCCTCTTCATGAATACAAATTTTACTTCATTTATCAAAATTATTTGTCCTTCTCTTCACCAAAAAGGCAAAATTTTATGGAGATGGACAAGAGTAACTGTTTTGTTGAGTATTTGGGAAGAGAGGAATGCTAGAATCTTCAAAGAGAAATCTCACAGGAAGCTCTAGTTGAAAACATATCAAGGTAGCATATGGGATGACCATGAACAGTTTTGCTCTTTTTACCATGGATGTATTTATAAGAAGTTAGTGGAATGTGGTAGATTCCATGACAACTAGGAAAACCTCCTTCACCCTATGGTACCCTCAATCTCTTAATACCCTCAAGAGAAACTTTGGTTCTTGTAGTTTGGGGAACCCAAGAAATTCTGGCATTGAGTTTTCAGAAACAGCAATGCAGAGATAAATTGCTTTGTATCTTGGACCTAATTATATTTGGGACTTGACCAGAGAACTATTGGCAGTATTACAAGTTTTAAGGCTGGCTAAGGACTTGATTTCTAGATTTTTGGTGGTGGAAGGGACTGTTATATTGTAGAGAGAAATCATACACATGGCAGAAGAACTGAAATACTGAATGCAATGTTTCATTGGACCTCTAGATCTACCAATAATTTGGCAGATGGTTTAGTAAAACAAGTAGCAACTAGAGTTCAATTTTACTAGGGCTTGGTTCCCTAAAATGAGAATATTATAAGAAGAGGGTGGCTAGAAGGGGCTAGGCCAAGGCACTGCACTGTAGCATAATTGTTCTTTTAATTCAATTTTGACTACTTGGTGTTTGCATAATTTCTTCTAGTTTAAAATTTAAATAGACTTGGCACATATAAACCACTTTCATTTCTTTCTCCGATGAGTTCTAATCAGTTATATGTCATTGTGGTAATAGTTTCAGTTCCTTCTTTAACCCATGACAATCAGTCACATGCCCTGGTAATACGAACTCTAGTTTATGTCACCTTGCTGTGTTAAGGTTCCTTCTCTTGCATATCTCCCACTCTCACCTCTTGGTCTACCGTGTGTCATCAATCATGATTATCAGTCACAGTGATCTGCTAAAGTCACCAGTCAGCATCTTTGTTCATAGGTTATGATTGTATTCCACATGTCTGTTGACAAGGATGATGGGTTATAATTGTATTCCACATGTCATTAATCATAGGTTATGGTTGTATTCCACATGTCATTATCAGTTGATTAAGCTTAACCTATCATCCTCCATGTTGAATGGATCGTGTGTTGGTTGCATGATCAACTAAGTGGTTGAATATGCTTATCATTAACGTGGTCTTCATTCACATGATCTGTTGAGGAGTTGATCTCAATGTTCAGTTGCAGTCATTTTAACCAACCTTATAATCTATAAAGGCAATTGTACAGCCAAAACTTCACTTTCAAGGATATGCTGTGGACTGTGGTTGAACACTCTGCATAGCGATCATAGTAGATCTTTTGCCCCATGTTTCAGTCACATTTGTTGGATTTTTGGTAATCTGGGTGTAAATAAATCTGCAATAAATCTGATGGGTTCAATATTCAGGGATTCCAAAAGTGATATTTTCATTTTTTTTTGTTGTAAATTTCTAGCCTTCTACCTCTCCTTCATTCAAATATCTTCCCCATTTGACATGGTCTTCAGAGCCCCATTTCTAACACGATCCAGCATTTTGACCTTTTTCTCTTCATGCATGCTCCTTTCTTACAGTTCTAGTGGCTTTTCCTTTGGGTTTTACTAATATACCTCCAGAACAAGAAACCAAACTCTTTAAGAGAACAACAACAAAAAAAAAAAAAAACAGAAACCAAGAATGGTATCTGGAAGATAGACAGGAGTTATAAGATGGGCTGGAGTAGGATCCAAATTCTACATCTCATAGTTTCACAAGATGCATTTTATTAGAGTTGATACTAATGGCTGTTTAAGTGTGCATTTGTGTAAATGGATAACCATAGAGTTGGCAATGAGCCTTGCATACAATCTTAGGTTCAGATTGCCAAGTTTTTGATTATTCAAGGTTGCCTAAGTTCAGTAGACAATGTTATATATATATATATATATATATATATATATATATAGGGCCCCTAGATATGGACATATTATGTGCTCTGCATTTGTACTATTTGTAAATGATATTAGCCACTTCTCTGCCTCGTCTAACTAAACAAGCCTAGCTTGATGTTTGCCATAGCTTATCAGTCAGCAAAATCCAGCTGAGGCTCAGTTCAGACAAGCCCTACTAGCTTGTTAATGAAAGGAGAAAGCTCTAGCTGATTTTAATCATTTATGTTGGCAGGATCCTTATTGGAATAGGCTCTTATGGTATTGCTCAGACAATAACTCTTATCAGGGTTGTCCTCTACCAGAAAGGCAATATTATGACGAGGACCCTGCCAAGGAGGAGTACTGGAATGATGAAGAGAACTTTCAATCCTCCGATCAAGCAGAATGGGCTGATAATTCCTTCCAAGAAGTTCCAAAGCCCGTCACTGATGAAGCTGAATGGTCAGATGGTTGGAAGTGAATTTTGTCAAATACAGATTTCTTTATTTTCTTGGACCTCCCTTTCTATCATTTGTTCATTGAATTGGTCCTAAAGATGCCAAAGAACAAACAATTGAGATCTGTGGGAGAACCATAACATTTTTTGTGGCTCATCCCACTACAAGTCTACAAGTGATGAACATTTTTTTTTATTGGTAAAGATAAAATTTCATTATCCATTTCTGGAATAACCTCAATTATGGTCTCCTGCCACCTAGGTATGTCTTTTCCTTATTCTTTCTCCAACATGGCTTAGTTTTTGCATTTAAAGCAATCTACTATAACTGCTGCATCCAATGTACCGAGTGATTGGCCCAGTGCAGTAATCTCCTATTTGGAAAGTATGCCAGTAAACCTGTGTATCTGAAAGTAAAATTGCATATTTTAACATTTTTAAATAAAAATATTCTCTGCCATGTGGCAAATGACCATTGGCCTAAATGTGCCACGTTGGAGATATACAATGGGGAAAAGTTTGGACTTCGGATTCATCCCTTGCACAATCAAAAGTTCAAAATATGGAAATGATACGGTTGATAGTTGATACACGTCATATTGAATCAGATTTTCAAGGGTTCATAACATATTAACATGAATGAAAATTGAAGTATGCCTGCAATTCCACCTTTACTGGTCCTTGAAAGAAAATCAAAATAAAGGGAAAAAAAATAATTGATCATTACAATTAGTATTTATTTGAAGTATTAACTACTAACGAAATAATTGAAGTATACATGCAATTCCACATTTACATCTCTCTTTTCTTTTATTATTTTCCGAGTACATTTCATAGTTAACACTAAATTAGTGTATTTCTTATGCTTTTATACCTAATTTATAGTCATTTAGGAGAATGACAACGTACAAGCTATGAGAGATGTTTCGATGTACTGGCTGCAATGTGCTATGAGGTGGGTGTGAGAAGCAGATGTTGTCTCGCACTATACAAGTTTTGGTGTCATATTCATTTCTATGTATCCAAGAGCCACTTGATTACATATTACATGACAAATATATGAAGAAAGGAGAAAGAAGACAACTTCAAAGGAAGAGTGCATGAAGGGTTATAATCAACAGCAATCTCCCATACAACCAACCGTTAATGTTATCTCCTACGTATGAAATTGAAATATCATCACTCATCTTGCTAATGTTGCCATTTGAACCGGTTTTCTTGCTCAAGTTCTCTTCTTTCCTGGCTGATGTAATGTTCCCTCCCCGAGTCAAGTTTGAGGAAGCTCGCACACCGTCGGGGGGCATTGGAGGGGGAACAAATTTTGGAAGAGGAGGAGGCGGAAGAAGAGGATGCATTGGCTCCTTGCTAGTGTCCGGCGGAACAACTGCCGGCGTTGGAACTGGAAATGAGTTAGATTAAACAAATTCAAAACCTTAGCTTCTAACCAAATAACACCATGGTTAAGCTTCATCTGTTAACCTTGAAATTTGATGTGAAAGTGAATGCATTTACTGATCAAACAAATAAAAGAAGTGAAGAAAAGCTGAGAGTTCAAACATTACCTCGACATTGTGCCAAGGGAGGTACAAATATGTGACAGTTGGAAACTAGGAATGAAATTGGAGCACTGAAGAGAGGATTAGTGGAAGATATCATCGAACACAGGCATTTGTATCCGGCTTTAACCACTTGATTAACAGCTTTACAGCAAGAACCCGTGGGGATTTTGCCAAAATTGAAGCAGGGCTGAAGGTCAATGTCTTGGAATGAACAACCAGTGAACTGGGTTTTAGCCATTGAAGGTGCTGGAAAGCATAGAAGCAAAATTGTTAAGACCCAAGTAATCTTGAGGAACGACAGTCCCTTTGAACCCATCTCTCTGCAATTAGCATCAAAACAGAAGCATTTCGTTTTGGTTTACGTACAAGCATACAACAAGGCTTAATCATGTAGTCATCCACACCTACTAGTAACCTACCCACGAGTACTGCTTGAGTGCGTGTTTAACCTTTGACCCTTCCATGAAGGATGAAGCTAATATGTCTGATGTGTCTGGGTCCGATGGCGATGGAAGACAAAGTGCCCAACCCGGTTTTAATTTGGACCAGTTCAGATTGGTCATTTTTTCACACCCGTGACCCGACCATCTCTCTCTCAAAAGCACACAGTTAACTTGACCCTATCCATGGAACTGTCAATTATAATAATAGACCTTGTTTCAGGTCTGGAACCGATCCGATTATCCATGTCTAACATGATAAATATTGACAGATATACCTTTAAATTCTAACCTGTAATTTGACAATAAATCTACTTTGTTAAATTCATAATCTGATTGTTTTGGAGCAGCTACAGTAACCCGAATCAGTGAAGAAGGAAGAAGAAGATGAGGAAGAATACAAGAGAAAGAGAGAACAGGAGGGTTTAGTCGAAACTGATTAGTCTTCCATTCAGTCGACCCCCTAATGTTTATTAGGTTCTAATTACACTTACAAAGACTAAACTGCCCTCACTTAAGTGTGGGGCAGAGTACTTTAATAAAACAGCCACATAAGCAAAGTACTTAACTGACGTAAGATTATTAAACTACCCCTATTCGGTTCACTCTAACACTCCCCCTCATGCTGGAGAATATATGTCATATAATCCCAACTTGTTACATAGATAGTTCACTTTCCCTGAGTTTAGAGCTTTTGTAAACAAATCTTCCCATTGATCATTCGATCCCACATGTTCTGTGTTTATCTCTCCAGCAATGAC